GAAGAACAAGGGCCTTGCGCCGACGCGAAGAATGAGACCAGGAACCCGCTGTCAAGAAGAAGCTGCAGTACGAGGCCAAGCAGAAGAAGCTGCGCAGCATGATGTCGACGTACAAGGGCGGCGAGCCGCAGGGAGGCTACCCCGGCGAGAAGACGGGCATCACGACGGGGCTGGTGCGGGCGAGGAAGCTGTAGTCTGTCGAGAAATGCATCTGTTGTTTGCTGTCTGCATGTCTGTGTCTGTGTCTGCATGTCTGTGTCTGTGTCTGCATGTCTGTGTCTGTGTCTGTGTCTGCATGTCTGTGTCTGTGTCTGTGTCTGTGTCTGCATGTCTGCCTCTGATGTGTGGCGATGCCATCTTCCTTCGAGGCGGCTGAAGCTTCTTCACTCGATCGATGCCTCCAGCGATCTGGCGCCACGGAGAGAACGGAAACCAGGGCAAAGCATGCCAGGTCAACTCGCGTCAGAACCAAACCCAATCAACAGTAAGTTTGCTAGTCTGTCCTAGTACCCTCCATCCATCCTGGCACCGTCCATCCATCCACCATGTCAGGGGTCAGACAAGGCTCGGTGGGGTCCGTCAGCACCAGCCAAATCTCACGCGGCTTAGGTCAGACCAAGCGACTCTTCACTTTTACGACCTCCCCCCCTTCAACCTCCCCCCCTTCCCCCTACCCAATCCTACCCTACCATCCGCCTCCGGACGACAGTAAACCCTCCCTGTCGTCGCCTACAAAAGCAGACGCCATGCCTGACGTCGGCAGCATTGTCTGGGTCATCGGTTCTGCCCTGTTTGCCGTCCTTCTCGCCTCCGCCATGGGTCTCTTTAACCGGAAGAACCACATGCCCGTCGAGGGCAAGGTACGTGATGCCTTCTTTCCTTCCTGTACCATGGCAAGGCATCGCTGACAAGCCTCTGCAGACCATCCTCCTCACCGGCGCGTCCGAGGGCATGGGCCGCAGCGTCGCCATCAAGCTCGCCGCCCGCGGCGCCAACATCATCGCCGTCGCCCGCAACGTCGAACGCCTCGAGGCCCTGCTGCCCGACCTCCGCGCCGCCGCCAAGAACCCCTCGACCCAGCGCTTCCACACCCTCTCCGCCGACGTCGGCGTGCCCGACTTTGCCGCGCCCCTGCTCGCCGAGGCCACGGCCTGGAACAACGGCCTCGCGCCCGACATCGTCTGGTGCATCGCCGGCATGTCGACGCCCGGCCTCTTCGCCGAGACGCCCTTTGCCCACCTACGCCGCAACATGGACGTCAACTTTTACGGCACCGCCGAGCTCGCCCACGCCGCTCTCGGCCTGTGGCTGGCCCCCGACGCCCCGCGCCCGCGCACCAAGAAGCGCTTCGTCATGACGAGCTCCGTCGCCGCCTTCTGCCCCATCGCCGGCTACTCGCCCTACGTCCCCTCCAAGGTCGTCCTGCGCGGCCTCGCCGACGCCCTGTCCCAGGAGCTGCACCTCTACCCCGACAACCCCGTCGCCGTCCACGTCATCTTCCCCAGAAAACA